GGGGGGGGGGGGGGGGGGGGGGGGGTGAATGAAACTCATTCCTCTCCTCCATCAGTAATTCCTTCGGCTTCCTTTGAGAAACTAGGGTTTGTGTAGGCCAGTTAGATAAGGGGAATGAGAATGATGATATCGTTGGTTGATCGAAACTACAATGTATTGGTCCACTCCTCAAAGTTTAAGGACGATGATAATGATTCCGGGGGTATCAACCTAGCATCAGCAATTCCTTTACTTTAATAGCGGAATCAAAACTTATGATTGTTTATGTCATTTGGAAACTTACTCACTTAGTCATTTGATCATGAAATTGAAATTTAACTCTTAATCGTAATTTGTAACCCTTGGAAATCAATAGCCATCAATATGATCTATCTTCAAAACTCAAGAGTGCAGCCTACAACCTATTCTTCGGTAGACCCTTACCAAACCAAAAATCAAACTAAATTCATCAAACAGAACGCTGATTAAACTAAAATCATCAAATCAAAAGGTCGAATTCAAACCAAAAGGCACAATAAGACGTAAATTAAGATTACCTCCCCAGCAGTAACAGCAGCACCAGCAAGAGAGAATCATAAGAAGATCTTTGAGAACAGCAGAAGCACAACCACATGAACGATCCTTATTACAACAATTCTGATTATCTGTTTTATCATCACACAGTAATGACTCCTGGTTACTGCTCCCCGAAGACTGATTCTTCTTCTTTTTATCACTTTTCAACCGGCGTAAATTCCATTCTAGATTATTCAAGTAGTCCAGCTTGAATGAATCACGTAATTTCTCCGATGGCCATAGATGCATCTCTCTATCTCCAAACAAAAATCAAGATACTATGATTTAGGGTTTAATTTTCCGTCTATTTCGTCTGTTGGGGATTTTGAAAAGAATGGGAATTATTTGGTCAATAAATTCTTAATTACGTATTCGGTCCCTTATGTTTGAAACAATTGTCAAATTAGCTCCTTATGATTTTAGAAATTGTCTTCTATTTGGAGATTTTGGAAGAATGGGTTGACAAAGGAATAGTTACATATTAACATTTTAAATAATACGATACGTGTTAGGGGTCGTTTACCTAAACACTTACCCGATAAGCGTTTAGCGATAAATTTCAACTCTATCTCTTACTTATCAGTTAAGATTTTAGTCTACCAAATGACATCGTATGTAATAATTTATTCGGTAAACGCTAACCGTGGTAAGAGTCGTCATCACTTACCGGGTAAGACTCTCGGTTCGTGCCTTCGCTCTTACCAGGTAAGATTCTTGGTTCTTGTCATATTCATCCGATAGAGAATGTAACTTGATAAGCGCTTACCCAAGTAAGCACTTGGTAAACGGCCCGTTAAACTATTTTAAACCATATTAACAAAGACAGGGTATTGAAGGGGCGAGTTTAGGAGCRCAGGACTTCACATTCATGGTTTGAGGTCGACATGTAGCACTTCTTTGACTAAAAGAGAGCTTCCGACTATGAGAGGAGCAAAAAGATTAACTTTTCTATAGTGTTTTTAGACATGGCACAAAAAGATAAACAATATGTCATTATGAGAGCATGAGCAACTCCGTTAGCTTGTTGCATAGTAAAACAAAACCGAATAAGAATCATGTTGATGGAGTAACCTACGATACCTTGAAATGATATGCCCAAACTTCGTTCCATCTTCTTCGATAAAGTTAACAGTATTGAAGACTTGTTTGGCATCCAACTTGAAAACCACTTTCTGGAACCCAATGCCGTTTTCCAAGACATCACTTCCATCAAAGCGAGGGCCTCATATTTGCGTAACAAACAGAATGCCAACTAGGGTAGTCGCAGAAGTTCAAGCGGCCACAAAAGTCCTGTTAGCCACCCGAAAAACATAAGCTAGCTCTGTAGACGAATTGTTATCGAAGGTAGTCGTATCGGCGGAAGAATGCTCCTCCTCACACCGTCATCTTTACACATTTTTTTTTTATTTTATCATACACTTTAACTAATTTTTTGGAGTACAAAAAGTTTCTAAATATCTATTTTAGCATAGTTGTTGGAGATGCTCTCACTCCCTATTGGATTTCAATTTCTTTCAATTAAATTATTCATTTTGTTTCAGCTTCTGATTTGTTAGATCAAACTTAAACTGCTTTTCGTTATTTTAAACCAACAACACAAGCTATAAGAGCAACCATCTTGTGGGGGTTTTTAGAAGTTTTTTGAGAGTGTGACTATTTTTTAAGGATTTTTTTCGTATTTAATCTGTTTTTAATTTTAAAGAATAAACTTTTAGTATTTAATCAGTTATATTTATTAATATATTTAAATACAATTAATTAAATAATAATATAAAATAAACACATAATTAAAGTCATTATAATTTTTGGTATATTTAATATAATATAGAAAATAAATTTATACCTATTTTCATATAATTTTTATGCATAAATAAAATTTGAGCAAAACATCTAAAAATTTCAAAGAATTGGTTACATGTTTGACCTGAATACTGGTTTTAAAAGGAGAGAGGTTATTTTTCCTTCACTCTACATGATTTTTGATAGCTTTTAAAGCAAAACCATTAATGGGGTTCTCATATAACGGGTCTGTAACTCATCAACAGGCAATTTTCTGGTGATTCATACTTTCATGGTTTTTTTTTTTTTCTTATTCATTGCTATAACTCTAAAACCCTCATCTTTCTTCATCAGAAACATGTTGAATTCAAATACCCAAGTCAAAGATTGATTCAATCTTTTCCCCATTTTAGTTTCAAATATCTTAAATTATGCTCTGATTCTTCTATTTTAAATCGTTCTCCATTTAAATGTGTCATTCCACTTTTTTATGTAA